CCATGATGAGGATCCAAGACCGTGGACTTGGGCTTACCAAGGTGCGTTTTTTCTGTCAGCATTTCGCCATTTCGCCTGACAGCGGTTCCCCTTATACGCCCGCCATAAACCCAAGTCTTTTTCTGGCGACCTGAAAGAAAAGATATGGCTGTCTGCGCCCCTTATGTGACAGCTGAGCCACACCTGAAGCTCCCCCTGGAAGCAGCAAACGTATAAGTTGCCCTCCGTTGTGGTCAGCACACCCTGCGGCCACCTGCAAGGGTTTTAGGTAAGAGAGCTTGGCTCCAGGGCACGGTCACTGGTTGTTAGTGCTGTCATGGAATGAAATGGAAGGCAAGAAGAAGATTACATAGAAAGCGCGCGATGGGGGAATGCGTGGGAGTTAGTCTATATAATATACTAGTGGATAGTAGTGCACGGGCTTGCACACATCTTACCAAGCCCTTCTTCTGCAAACTCTCATACCACTGTTCTTATCCCCAGAAAACTGTGATGTCACGCAACAACATTTCAAGCAGGAGATGACGCCCATTTCGTAGTCATTGTGCCAGGCCGCCTTGTTTCTAATATGTAGAGCTATGAAATAAACCTTTGCTTGATCCTGCTCTGGTGGTGGTACCCATGGCGGTGGCGGCGGCTGCCGCTTGTGATGCTGCTCCTGCTGGGCTGTAATTGCTACTGCCACTGCTCCTGCCACTGCTCCTGCTAGTGCTACTGCTGCTGCTGCTGCTGCTACTGCCACTGCCACTGCCACTGCTGCCACTGCTGCTGCTGCTGCTGCGGGCACGGTGGTGGTGGTCGTTGTTGGTCTTCATGTTTGTCGGTTCTTCTTGCCTTTGTCGCATCACGATTCTGGCCAATGTCCTGCCTTGGCGACTGAACCTTGCATTGCACTTCTGAGATCTGGCTGTAGTCATAGCATCTCCGAGTAATCCTCGTGGCTTGAGGTTCAGCGTTCCTAAAACGCCTTTTAAACGGCAGGGCCTCATCCTCCATAGCAGGCAACCTACAGGAGGTGTCCTGCCTCCTATTTGGAACAAGTTGTGGGTCTGGGGGATTAGCTACGCTCACTACCGTAGTACCTCGAACCAGTGGTGCGGCATCTGGTTTACCAAGATATGCTAGTTTCCCTAAATATGGGAACCCCAATATAGACACCAAACTCAAAAAGGTACCCATAGTTTCGGGAAACCCCCGTACATTGGATAATCCCACACCTCAGGATGCAAGTGCCAAACCACTAAGTGGGATGCTTCGACTCAACGAGATTGGTTCCAGGAGCGTCTGTGTGAGGCTATCCGAAATCCTCAAAGTAAGGTTTCTCGCCAGTATTACTATCATTGGGTAGCATTGGTAAGTATGATCATCATATATTACGATTAAGTATTGTCATCATTTTCAGTACTATTGTGCTTATTACCCGAGTACTATACTACTACTGGTATTTGGGCCCTAAGGCCCTATTATTTGGGTCCTTGGACCCTTTGGCGCTGTCCCAAACCCTTAACCCTAAACCGTATCTTGTTCAATACAGGCTCATACCCGTCATGGTACGTCCTCTGAGAGGAGCCTAAAGCTACTGGAGAATCACCCTATGTTTAGGGTTTAGGGTTTTTAGGTGTAGGGTTTAGGGTCTAGGGCTTAGGGTTTAGAGTTTAGGGGTTTAGGGTTGACTCTAGACCCCATACCCTATACCCTTTTAAGAGGCTCAGCGGTGGTGGCATCTTTTTTTGGTGGCATCCTTTCAGTGGACAACTTGCTTTACCTCTCCCATAACTTACCTTTGGTTAGCTGGGAATGGGGGATTGGAAAAGAACATGGAAACTACCATAATGGGTTATATAGGGACTACTATAGGGATCCATTCCTTCATGCCTACCTAACCAAAGGTAAGATAAGCTTCAGATAACCCAGTCGGGAGGACCAGGAACCTACTTGTCCAGCTTCGTTGCCTGCCGTCCTTCAACCTCGAATGCAGATCCTAAACCCTAAACCCTAAACCCAGTGACTCAGTGTTCTTGGAAGCCTGGTATAGGCCTAAAGGTTGAACCTCTTTATCAAGCTCAAGGTAGCAGAGGTCAAAACGATTTGGGAAACCGGCCCGCCCTACAACACCCGGCAGCCTACTGGTTCTTAAGGGGGGGTGGGGGAGAACCCTAAACCCTAAAGCCCCTTAAGCACCCGCAACGCAATAGGGCTTGACCTACACTGTAGAAACGACGCTGAACAATTTGGGGGTTTCCCAGAATAAAGGGTACCTTCAGAGGGATTTATAGGGCTTATATAGGATATATACAACGGCATAAAAGGGCTTCGGGTTTCCTAGAATTAGGTGTACCATTTGGGAGTGCCCTATAACAAAGAATATAGTATTCTGAGGTCTATATTGGGGCCCCCCTATTTCGGGAATCTATCATTTCAAAGCAAGACTCACCATTATGCGGCTGCCATCAACGACATTCAGCTCAGAAAGTGGTGCGCTGGATCTTTCTTGACCTAAGCTATAAGCTAAACTCCTTAAAGGGGGATTATATAGGGGACTACTGTACGGCTTATTACAAGGGATACTAGGAGTTTAAACCATAGCTCATCTTGCCATGGACCCCTTTCTGTCCAGTGTCCAGGGAGGTATACTAGGAGGCACTGTAGGGTTTAGGGTCTGGTAGAGTGTTCTCTATCATGTAAACTATGGTGGGGGATAGGTTATAAGCTGCCCAAACCCTAAACCCTAGACCCCCATGATCTTGTTTGCTTGAGGGGCTTTCCTGCCTAGCTGAGGTTGGAACTATGGGCCCTTCGTATGGGCCTTTAATCCTGGGGTCCTTATGTGCATACTATGATTAAGGTTGAATTATTCGCCGAAGCATCCAGCCTCAGGGCGTTCAGATCCTTCTAAAAACCCCCTTTGCAGACCCCCTGACCACCCCCCCGGCCATGGTGGGTGGCCTAGTCCAGCCTGACCATCCCGCATGAAATTTCAGCCTCGCCGAAGGTTCGAGGCTTTGGCATTATTTCGTTCAAAACTGTGTTTGTTGTGCTGCAGGTCCCTGGACAAATCTGGAGCTCCCTGAAGGGCCCTGGAACGGCCTGGAAGCGCCTGGAAACCCCCCCACATGCATGGATGAAGCTGAGTAACCTCTACAGGCCTTAATATATACTATGGCTTACAATATATACTATGTCTTGTTTATGGGTTCCGCGTTTTGGGTACACTTAATTGGGACTTGCAGAGGATTATGACAAGAACATCTTTACGAGATACGAGGAGTTTTAGCTACCGTTCTGTGGCTAGACCCCAATATACATTCAGACTATTGGTCAAGTGATTGTGGACACCAGAAGGTTTTCAGGCTCCAAATGCTATACACTAAACACTATTTTGGACCTGAAGCAATTAACTTTGGGAATCGGTAAACTCGTAAATCGATGTTTCGCCGATCTGGAAGTCTATATGCCGAACGACCAGTCCTGAACGGCGAACTCCTATGCCTCCAAGCCCCACTTCTCTAGAGCCTGAGGCCTCAAACCCCAAGCCCTAAAGCCCTAATCCATAAACCTTAAACCCTAAA